ATCAGCGACTTCTCTGGTGGTTTATAACCATTTCTTCCACTTTTTCCATGTTTTTATCGGTTGTTAATAGTCTTGTGCGTTCGGGGCGCTCGTCATCTTCAACTTCTTCACGGCCATCTTGGAAACTCTTATACCACTTGTAAACTCTTGTTTTACTTATAGCAGACTCACTATAGGCCTTTGTTAACATTTCACAGAACTTATTTTATTTTTTATGCAAAATTGGATACAAATTCTTTGATTCATTTATTTTCACGAACGAAAAATCGCCGAGCTCATAAAACACGTCTAACCTTAGCGGCTATTTTAAGGTTAATATTTTTATGAGGTAATTCAATATTATTATTATTTTCTACAAAGTAATACATGCTACTTCAGTACCTAAGTGTTGTTTTAACTATTTCATTGTTAATATAACGAGATATAAATCAATAATATCTTTGCATATTCAGTCATATGACTGTCAATTTACATTTTATACTTTAGATTAGATTTTATTACTTTTTAAATCAATTTGAGGCATACTTAACAAATATATAAATATAAATAATCGATTGGACTAAAATCGCAAATTCTTGGCCAATCCAAAACACAATAAATCATGTTTGAAATAATTACATGTTTAAATAAATTACTATGAAAAAAAATATAATGAAAAAAATTAATTTTTAAACATAAAACTGATTTTATGAATAGGTAATATTACCCCAGTAGCACAAAATATTGATCCTATATGGGGCGCGTCTATGCCCAATATTTTATCTGGGGCCAATCTTGGATTTATTTAGCCGATGTTAGCCCTATATTGGCATAAAATGATAATTTAATTTAACTTGCCAATGTTTATGCAAGGTTGGTCCTATATTGGTATATTATTTTAGGTCATATAAGTGCACAGTTACAAAACAAGCAAATTAAAATATAAAACGGCAATTCAATTGAACAATTTTTAGTGGGATTACCTAGTTAAAAAGAAAGCAACATTGTTGACATATCATAAAGAAATTTATATTGCTTTTTTGTGGTACGTTCACCGACATCTTAGGCAATTATAGTGAGAATGTCCTAAAAATGTCGTACTATTTAATAATACTTAAATCATTTTATTGTTAAAAAAAGCAATTAATACAAGTTTACTAGGTAGTTTTGTTTATTGGACGGTTTTTATTGTAAAATTATGCCGTTTTAAATATTTATTTATAAACCTTTAAGTACATATATGTATTTTAAAAATAGTTTAACTTAATGTAATTTTATTAAATGACATAAAACCATGTATTTTTTTATAAATTTAAAAACCAGTAGTGCCAAACTTTTGACATTTAAAAATTTTATAATCCAATCAAAATAGCTTAAAATAATTAAAAAAATAAGGGTAATGCTTATTATAAAATAAAAAAAAATTATACATTATTTTTAATAACAGAAATATATAATAAATAATGGCTAAGTAACTGGAGCATTCAATAAGAATCGGATCTAAATACTTACTTAGTATGAGAGAAGTAAAGTTTAATAAACAGCTCATATTCATGAAGTAGAATATACGATTACGATAATTGAATCTTGTTTATAAATATTCTCATTAGATTGAGTTTGTCGATAAAGACTAATGGTATTAATAACCTAGAGAGACATTTTATTAGTACATTTATTTTGCATTAAACATTATTAATTTTTTCACTTTGTTTTAGATTAGATTGCAATACTTTGTATTTATACTTGCCAATGTATAGAATTTTTGTACTTTGCTATAAAAGCAAACAACTAATTAAACCAAATTACTTAAGAAATTTGTAATTTTTTACAACACACAACTATTATCAAATAATTAGATTTCTTTTAATAAAATTAAGGTTTATTCTTTGACTAAAATGAGTTTAAAGTATAACCTATTTTTAATTATTATAAAAAATAGCATCCTTAAAATTGCAATTACATCGGTTGTGGTATCAGCACCGAATCCTGAGAAACTTAAACAATATGTTGATGGGGTTAACAACAGTTTTAAAAAATGGTGCACCAGAAACCGTCTTATTTTAAGTTCTGAAAAAAATGTATTTCTGTGACTTGTCCTATACATACGAGGTGTGTTCAGAAAATATCGGGAACTTTCGTTTTTTAAAATAAATATTTATTTATTCGTCTACATTAATGTTGTCGCCTTCAAAATAGTCCCCATTGGATATAATGCACATGTGCCAGCTCTTCTTCCAATACTCGAAACACTTCTAAAACTCGATCTTTGGGATAGCCTCGGGATAGCCTTTAGTTCTTTCAGCGATGCGCTTTTAATGTCATCTATGCTTGCAAAACGACGCCCCTTTAAGGTTCTCTTTATTTTTGGGAATAGGAAAAAGTCAGACAGAGGCATGTCTGGAGAATATGGAGGCTGGGGCATCATTACAGTATTGTTTTTGGCCAAATTTTTTTTACAAAATTTAACAATTTTAAAACAAATTTTGCTGCCACGCGTTTCATACCCAAAACATTCGAAAAAATTTCATAGGATGAGCCAATCGATATACCAACATCATCAGCGACTTCTCATTTCTTCCACTTTTTCCATGTTTTTATCGGTTGTTAATGTGCTTGTGCGTTCGGGGCGTTCGTCATCTTCAACGTCTTCACGGCCATCTTGGAAACTCTTATACCACTTGTAAACTCTTGTTTTACTTATAGCAGACTCACTATAGGCCTTTGTTAACATTTCACAGAATTTATTTCATTTTTTAAGCAAAATTGGATACAAATTCTTTGATCCATTTCTTTTAACGGACGAAAAGTCGCCGAGCTCATAAAACACGTCTAACCTTAGCGGCTGCCACAGACAAAGTAAACAATGAAAACAGTTAAAGTTTTTATCATACTTCGGGGGCATGTATACCAACATAATAAAGAAAATTTTATAACAACCGGACCCTCCGAACCCGCGAAATTTAACAATTCCCGTTATTTTCTGAACACACACACCATCTATGTCAATTGGATTAATAAAATTATTAATATTATATAGACCATAGTCGGTTTTCATTGTTTAGTTATATATAAGGCATTCTGTATATATAAGTACAGAATGCAAAAGCTACATAACATAGTATATTATATAAAACGTCATTTTTGGAATCAGCGAGCCCATAATACCCCAGAAAACGTACTCATATTTTTTTATATACCTTTGTTATTTATTAATTAAATTATTATCGCAGATGATAATAATCAAATCTTATTGACACGGGTTTAAGTTCTAATTTAATATCTAAACTTGCAAATCCTTGACCCACACTTAAAAAAATCATGCAGGTACCTACGTAAATATTCTATTGTTGTTATATTTTATTAAAATATTATCAATTTATTTTTTTAAGATTATTTAAAAACATGTTTGCTCTTTTTGAATATCTGCAAATTATATATAATATACGTATGTGACCCACCCCTCATGAAAAATTTAAAAATTTTATTATTACATCTTATTGGCCATAAAAAGTGTAATTAATTCCCAACATTTTACGTTTCTATCTTGAACGGTTTTGGAGATTTTAAATAAAAACCATCTTTAGGGGCTTCTCTTTCGGGGGCTGTAGCTCCCTTAGGAAGCATTTCTCGACCTATGTTTATAAGATTTTGTTCTTATTTTTGTACCTAGAATCTTCTGTTACAGACTATTCACATTTACGTGGTATAAATAAATAAATAAATTTAACTTAAATATACCTGAATACATATATTTTGTCTGACGTGGTATTATACCCTCGAAATAATTAACAAAGTAAGCTATTGTTACACTAGTATAATGAAAATATTGTTTCACTAGTGGAATAATGAAACGGAAGTGGAAGAAAAAATTAAATTGTAAACACCAAATTACAGTTATTTGCAGATGTTTTATGTAGTTTTTTTGTAATTATTTTAACAAAGGAAAATATTTTATTGCAATTTTGTAAGCATTTTGTTAATTTCAAAGGTTACAAATTATTTTGTTAATGTTTGACAAATTATTTCCTTAAAAATGTACACGTGATTTCAGGCAGTCAATCAAAACATTTCCCACTGACAATACGAATCAACACGTTGAAATGACTTCAGCGTCTGCAACTTATGTTTCTGCTTAATTTATTTTAATTCGTAACGTGTTCGTAACAACTGTCCAGAATGTTTATAATATAGGTATTACCAAAAATCTGTTATTATTGTTTTTCGGATTTCTTATACACGTGCGAAGTATCCGAAATAAGATGCCATAACTGGTTTTCAAACTGAAATTAGGGGATACAGTGAAGTGGGTGATGAAATACATCAGTAAGTTTTGCAGTAGTACTAATTATATTGTACCAAATTTCTTTATAATTTTATTTCAGAATGGTGTGTGTATGTTATTTTTGTGTTTATTTATGTAGGTATGTGTTATTTTTTTTTGGAAATTGATTAATTAAGCAACGCTTCTTATCAAAATTCTTTTCCCAGTTCCCAATTTCCAACAAATACTTACTGGGCCTACAAAAAGGTTTGTAAAAATAAGACCCTTTTTAAAAATTAAAAGAATTATGGTTGAATTATTATTTCTACAAAATGTTTGTAATAATAACAAACCACGTATTCAATTAGTTAACAGATTATAGTTGGTTGTAAACTTAACATAAAGAAATGTGGACCTGGATTAACATTAACGCTGGTTAATATTTGGTTAAAATTAACAAATATTTTTTTACTGTGTACAACTTGTACAGTACAAGGATGATATAATATTAATAATTAAGTATTATTTTAATAAAATACTCTCATCTTTTAAGAACTTTATGTTAAAGACATATATATCTGCAGTTTCATTGCATTTTCAACAAAAAAATACTTTTTATTTTTTATCATGATTTTTGAATAACAAACTATTACTTTAATTTATTAGATAAAAACCAAGATTATTATTTAAATTTTTTTAGGTACTTTGATAAATATACCACCAAGGCGTATAAATAGTAAGTTTTTTTAATCAATGAATCATTTTTAATTCGTTTGCAATACAATTGTAATTACTAGCGATAATTAATATGGCTTTTAGAAATAGTTTGGCTATTTGCCTATTGTTGGCTGTTCTTGGGTGAGTAAAAATATTAATAAATGTTGTTTTATACGAAATCGTCAGTAAAGTAGTCAACAATCGGCAGTAAAATAAAAGAAATCGGCAGTAAAGTAGAACTTTACTGTGGATTTAAGATGTGTCTACTGCTCCTCAGCAGCAACTAAATAATATTTAAAAAAAGCACCGTCGCGGAGGTCGATTGGACCCTTTTATAAAATGTTGCTTAATAAAAATAATAAGTTATTTTATTAATTAGATTAAAAAACCATCGATACGAACCAAAATGGTGTTAAATATGGTTCGTTGGTCCGGTGTAAATTCAAATACTAAAATAGTGTTAATTTAACTTTCACACAGTATTAAAATAAATTTTACCTGGTGTAAATTGAACTCCTTTTCAGTGTTAAATATTATGTGTTTTTGGTCAAATTAAATCATACTACACAGAAAAAAAGGAAAAAAAAGAAAACAGGAAGTTCCTTGACGAATTACTAGTATATTACCAGTGGTATTATTCCAGAAAATTGAACCTTCAACTCGCTAGAGATAATGTTTTTAGTGCGATCCACCAACTTAAAATACTTCAAGTATTGACAGCTGTTTTCACCTATTTAAGGTCTCTTTAGTATCGAACAACTTGTAGTGTCACACCAAAGCAAAGGACTACCTGAGCTTATATATTCTTCATGTAAGTCAACAGAGGCGAGATTTAAGAACATCACGTGATCCACACCGCCTTTGCCGCGATCGGTACTCACTATGCAACCGGGAATGCACGGCAAATTATTTTAATCGTTTTAACGGAGTGCTTTAGGTTGAAGTAACTCTTATTTTACAAACAACATATTTAGTAAACTGAACCATACAGCGGGTTGGTTTCGCTAAAGTTTTCTGGGTTAATTTAACCAATTTAAAAAAAAATAAAAAAACTATCTTGTTTAGTACCGTCAAACTAATCTTTGTTTATATTAACCTTCCCTGTGCACAGTTGATAAAAATAAAAAAAATACAAAAATAAATACTTATGGGTCAACTAAATTAATATAGTTAAATGAACTATTCATTTTTTTCTGTGTAGGTGCACTTCTCAAATATTTTTAGATAAACACCGTTTGGTGTTCGATTTTGACACCATTTTAAGATTTCTCTTTACACCACATATATTTTAAACAGTGTAACCGTCGAAAAAACAGTATACGTAGAAACTTCCTACATTCAAATGACATTAGATTTGATCATCAATATTAATTATTAGTAGTATTAAATGTGATTTCGGATAAAATTTAATATGCTCCTCGACATTAAAGTCATTTTTTATCACTAACGTGGTTATTTGCCTCGGCTTTCGCCTCTGCGTGATAAAAAATACGACTTTACTGCCTTGATACATAAATAACAATTTTCCAATTTAATGTCAAACTTTTGCTTCTACTGGTGTTCGGGAAATATAAAAATAATATAAATATTAATTTTAGGAGCATTAGTGCAGGACCCTTAAGTGCTAGAAACCCAGCCGCCATGGCGATGTTAGAATCCATAATGAAAAAATCGAAATGGGACAGCTTTGTATTTTCCCAAGAATGGCCGGCAACAGTGTGCTCATCTTCCAGCAGAAAGTGTTACTTCCCAGAGAACAGGAACACGTGGACCGTCCACGGTCTTTGGCCTTCGAAATCCGACGGTACTTACGGACCCTCCAACTGCGAAACCGATGCGGAATTCTCAGAGGCCACATTGGCACCCATTTTGGACGACTTGGAAAAGCAATGGACCGATGTTTTCGGTGAGAGCGATGAGTACTCATTCTGGAAGCACGAGTGGTCGAAACATGGCACCTGCGCCGCCCAATTAGAAGCCTTGGACAGCGCCTTGAAATACTTCGAGAAGGGTTTGGAACTGAACACGAACTACAATTTGACTTCGATTTTCCTGGATAGCAACATCGTCCCTGGCAACTCCTATTCCCTTAAGCAATACACTAAAGCCGTCGAAAGCGTCACTGGTGCCAAATCAACAGTACGTTGCGCCAGTAAGGGATCGGCTCGTGTTCAGGAAATCAGGATTTGCTTTGATAAGAAATTTAATGTCATCGATTGCTTTGAAGATTCCAACTGTCACACCAAATCCATTAACTATGAAGATAATAACTGAATATTATTAATGTTTTTTGTGTTTGTTTATTTATATTTTTTTTATTAAGTTGCTCACAACATTTGCAAAATATTTTAAGGTTTTAAAACTATGTTTAAAACTACATATAATAAATGTTGTTATTAAAATAACTTACACTTTCAATCTTATCACTAAATTTTGGTTCACTCAGGTCCAGTTTATCAGTGTCCAGTTAAGGTTGTAGTTGAGTGCACTGAAAGAAATATATGTTTGTTTTAGCAATGTATGTGGACTACCACATAAAATATATTTACCTTAACCATTTTTATATTTAGTTTTAACATATTATGTTAAAACTAAATATAATATATGTTTGTTTTAGCAATGTATGTGGTAGTCCATATATGAACCACAATGCAATGCTAAAACAAACATATATTTCTTTCAGTGTGGAAATTTGCCAAGTGAGCCCATTTTTTGACGTTTTAATTAAAAATAAATATTAAATCATAATATACTGTAAAGATTTCTCTTTACACCAGGTTCGTTAAAACAAGTTTTATAAAAAATTAATAAATGAACTATTTTGTGACTATGGCTCGTGATCGTCTTTAAGAATCATACTTGAGAAAATTAGGTATACAAAAAAATAAAATACAGTGTTTTGTTTACCCCCATTTAATTTACTTTACAGTTTAAAAAAAACAAGGGGTGGCTCTTAGGGAGATACGATCAGGGAAAAAGAGCTTTAGAAAAAACCCTGTTCGGCTATGAAGTAGCAAAGGATTACACGATTAGGCATTGTTTCTTTTAAAGGTTTATGCAAATCATTGGAATGACACGAGGCTCGTTACGCTATCTACCCCCTACAGGTTCAAAAATAGGAAAAACGTTGTTAGTTTAACAGGGCAGTTAACTGTTAGTCTGTCAACGTTAACGTTGCCCTGTGGAGAACGAGGTCCACACTGGAAGCAACTCGCGTAAAGTTGAAGGTTCGGGATAAAAGTTGCGATGCCACCCAGAGAACCTAGGTGACCAGTTATCCCTCACGGAGGGGAGAATTTTAGTATCTACTGCAAACTACGTACTAAAGAATAATGCGCAGTAGTGCAAAATAACTAATGCTCAGTTTATTTAAATCTAAATCGTTCTACGTTTAGTGGACTTTACTACATAATTGGGCTACTAAAATTAAGAACTAAACTGGGAGAATACACAAACACTTGTAACAATTATTTAAACAGAACTTTACAATAAATTTCGTTTTAGTAAAAATGTCTAAGAGCCGATGTGTTCGATACAATTTTTAAACGCTTTCTGCCGCTTTATTTTCTTCCCTTACCAAGTTTCGATGTTGTTTTCGCCTCATCTGGTGAACAGATTTCTTCCCATTTCAGGCAAAATTTCGGTCTTCCACGAAACTTTGTAATTTATTTACCTAACCGTTCGTTTTTACCTCTATTGCAAAGATTTTTACATTTTACAACACATTTAGGTATCGGTTAGTTTACACACCTTTATTGGAAAAGGTCTTTTGAGTTTATGGATTTTGTGACTTCCTTGGTAATTAATTTACCTTGCTCTTGCTCTGCTATAATCCCGTGAAAGTCAGCGATAAGATTTGGGACGGCTTGGATTTATTGTTTTTTTGTATTGTTTTGTTATTTTGTTTTACATTATTTTTTTTGGGTTTTTTACTAGGATTGTGTTTACTTATCAAATGTTTGCAGATGATGGTCCTTTCCACTCTTGGTTAGCCTCGTTTATTCTTCACATAGAATGCCTCCTATTGTCAGGTGGTTCGTCCGCCAGGTATGCTGTCACTTATCACTTCACACTTTATTACTTCTGTGACCCTAAGGGAGCCCTTACTTACTCTAGATACTTTGCATTATAGTTTATTTGCACTGTATGAGTAGTATATAAATATGGCCTTGTTCTTCCTAAGAAAATTGAAAAAATAATAGGTAAAGGAAGCTCTGAAAGTTTAAGATTAAGGAATCGTTTAAACAACTTTGTGATCGCTCCTTGGGTCAATATATTTACTAAAATATCGTTCATAATTAACATAAAAGTTTAAAATAACAATTGCCAATGTTTTATTTAAACAAATTACTTTAAAAAGTTGACAAATTAAAAATGATGAACACGTTAGAATAAAGATAAACTTAAAGATGTGAACTTATCAAACATAACTTGGTTCTTATTTTTTCCTGTAATTACATTTTTAACAAAAACTGTGTCATTCGAGAAAAGTCTACACAATTTTCAACTGTATAGGTTCATAGCAATGGTATTGTCTGGTAATTTTTATCACAAGCCACTTTATCGTAAGAGGTCGCAAAAAATTTTCACTAACAGTAATCCCAAAATTTCTTGAGGTTTTAAAAAATTTGTAAAATTAAATTTATTTTTTTACTGCGATGCGGCCCTATCCGAAAACTGATTTTTTTATATTTTTATCCAAAATTAAATAAATGAACCAAGCCCGCGTCCTAAATCATTTGTTTGTGGGACTATACAGTATTGGAGAAAATTAGAGCGACCATAGTATGTTTCACCAAATACTTGAGTTACATATATTTCTGTTAGTAAAAATTTAAGCTAGTAAAATAATTAATTATAATAAATAAAATGCAATTACTTTAATTAAAGCTGAAATTACAAATTATCTCATTTTTTTATCGACAAAATTGGAATAACTTGAAAGAAAAAGGGTATAATTCAATATTATTATTTTTTAAAACCTTAAAAAGTATTTTTATCAATAATTGACGTAAAAACGTAAAATTTAAGAGAGATCGTTGGGGCACGTTTTAATAAAAAAATAATTGCAGGTTTTTGAATTTTTATTAATTTTTTATAAATAGTTCACAAGAAATTATTTTTAAATCAAATGCTACATATTATTCATATCACACATTGTGATTAAACAAAACAAAGATTTAGCGGTATTTTTCTACTACTTAGTATCATGGGCTAACTTGACAAATGTCTACTCATGCAGCTACTTATCTGGCAGAAAATTTCCATAGATACCATTATTTTCACAACGATGGATATGGAATTTAACTGTCAGATAGGCTAACTGGTACTTAACCAGAGATTAATAAACCGGTCTAAGGTGTAACAATAAATACTCAAACATTTGAAGTATTATTCATAATTTTAGTTTTCACAAGTAAGTAAGTAGGCAATATTTTATAATGTAACAAAATTTATTTAATAAATTTAGATTAAGGATAAAACTACGAACTATAAAAAAACGAAACATTTTAAAATATTGGATTATACTGAAGTATTCAAATGCAATGGCAAAATTAATAAGCATATTTTGTTGCTTTTTTATTTTTTACAGGTAAGTTTAGCACCTACATAATGTTAATAACTAGGTATAACTGTTTAAATAATGTCATTTTTTAAAACCAAAATATTTCTGGTTGCTGGAACTAAAAAGTTAAACAGTAAAAAAATATTTGTTAATTTTCACCAAAATTTGGTAATATTTAATATTAACCAGATATTTATATCCTATGTCAATAATTCAACCAAAATTCTTGTAATTCCCAAAAAGGACCTTATTTTTACAAACCTTTTTGTAGGCCCAGTAAAAAAAGTATTTGTTGGAAATTGGGATAAGAAATGTTGCTTTATTGATCAATTTCCCAAACAAAAAGTTAATAAATAAACACATTCTGATATCATCAATGTATAAAGAAATTTGGAATGATCAGTACTAATGTATTTTTTAACTTTAACCCACTTTACTATTCCCTAATTTCAGTTTAAAAACCAGAGATAGCATCTTTTTTCGGATACTTCGCACTTTGCACTTTGTCTTGTTAAATAGGTATAAGGAATCCCAATAGCAACAGATTTTTGGTAATATAAACACTCTGGACAGTTGTTACGAACACGTTACTAATTAGAATAAAGTAAGCAGAAACATAAGTTGCATACGCTGAAGTCAGTTGATGCGTATTGTCTGTGGGAAATGACGTGTACTTTTTTAACGAAATAATTTGTTAAACATTAACAAAATGATCTGTAACCCTAGTAGAAATTTAAATCGGGAATCAGTAGGGCGCTAGCTAGTTTTCCCCAAATGAAACGAGGGCCTCGCTAGGAATCCCTACTAGTTTCCGACTAGTCATGTAATGCTTTTCCTTGTGGGGAACTACTGGGGAAAAGCTGGTAGGGAAAACTAGCTTAAAACTGGTTGGGAATATTTGTGAATTTTTTAACCAATAATAAAAGCCAGAAGCTAAAATTTTTTTATTAGATTTATATATTTACATTATCGTTCGATCACTTTTGGAATTATTATTGTCGGTTGTAAATTGATTTGGTATAACTTCTTGTGACAAGATAAATTTGTTTGTTGCACCATGACTTGAAGTTAAATCATTATCAAGTTTTTCTGCACCATTGGAAGAATCTAACAAATAAATGGATAAATTAATAAAACGGGTGAGTTTTAAGTAGAGAGGTTATTTTTAACAGCGTGTAGAAATCAAGTAGACAAACGAATACTTCAAGTATCTCAAAAATAAGAGAGAAACAGCCTTTTAAAGTATATCTGCCAATACCACACGCGCATAGTTTCAACCATCTGGTACCTACTGCGCATAGATGTCCGCCAATTCTCAATTTTGGTTTTTAAAAAATAAAGTTATTTGAAATTTCAACAAATTATGTTTGACCATTGATTTCTAGACGTCTGTTAAATATACCCCTCAACTTGAATCTCACTCAAAAAATAACCCCTTAATTTTTGCCCAAAAGTAAAAGAAGTTTTTATGAAATTTAGCTTAAGTTAAAGGTGTTTATTTAATTAAACAACCTGTATCTTCAAAACAAACATAATTCCTTAAATGTTTGTCCAAATGAAGCCTTGTAAATTAAATATACTTAAATAGTAAAATTTAAAAAAAAAACTAAGGTTAGGTTTAAACTATAAAATATCTTTACACATAAAGCAATAACTTACCGTACCGTATACGGTAAATATATTTATTTAAACTTGCCTTAATTTCATTATCGTTTACACCAACCCATCGATCTTTTATCATTATTTTAATCATATAACAAACACAGCATTTAAACGTCAAAAAATGTAAAATCAAGAAAAACGTCAAAATCCTTAGTAACCTGTAAACAAAGAGATTTTCCCTACATTTCCTTACAAGTTTATGGTGAGGAAAACTTGAGTCAGCCTAGACTGGAATTTAATGAGGAAAACTAGATGTGAACTAGTCAGTCGGAGGCGAGTCACAACTAGGCAAGTTTTACTGGATAGTTTCTAGTCGGGGCCTATCTAGTATTTCCCTTTCTAGTTTTTTCCTATCTAAACCCAGCCAGCGCCCTACCAATAGTGAGGAAAACTGGACAAATTTCTACTAGGGAACCTTTAAAATTAACAAAATTTCATATTACCTTCATAAAACTTTCGGTAAAGTATTTTCCTTTATTAAAATAATTACAAACCCTGGATTTCTACAAAAAATTATTTTAATATTTTACAAAATAAAAATAACAAACTACATACTCATTTTAACAAATCTGATCTTTATAACAGTGTACGAGGTGGGTTCAGAAAATATCGGGAATTTTCGTTTTTTGAAACAAATATTTATTTATTCGTCTACATTAATATTGTCGCCTTCAAAATAGTCCCCATTGGATATTATGCACATGTGCCAGCTATTCTTCCAATACTCGAAACACTTCTAAAACTCGATCTTTGGGATAGCCTTTAGTTCTTTCAGCGATGCGCTTTTAATGTCATCTATGCTTGCAAAACGACGGCCCTTTAAGGTTCTCTTTATTTTTGGGAATAGGAAAAAGTCAGACATAGGCATGTCTGGCGAATATAGAGGCTGGGGCATCATTACAGTATTGTTTTTGGGCATAAATTTTGTTCAAAATTTACCAATTTTAGAACAAATTTTGCTGCCACGCGTTTCATACCCAAAACATTTGAAAAAATTTCATGCCCATGGGATGAGCCAATCGATATACCAACATCATCAGCGACTTCTCTGATGGTTTATAACCATTTATTCCAATTTTTCCATGTTTTTATCGGTTGTTAATGTGCTTGTGCGTTCGGAGCGTTCGTCATCTTCAACGTCTTCACGACCATCTTGGAAACTCTTATACCACTTGTAACCTCTTGTTTTACTTATAGCAGACTCACTAAGGGCCTTTGTTAACATTTTACAGAATTTATTTCATTTTTTAAGCAAAATTGGATACTAGTTCTTTGATCCATTTCTTTTAACGAACGAAAAATCGCCGAGCTAATAAAACACGTCTAACCTTAGCGGCTGCCACAGAGAAAGTAAAAATGAAAAGAGCTAAAGTTTTTATCACACTTCTGGGGCATGTATACCAACATAATAAAGAAAATTTTATGACAACCGGACCCTCCGAAACCGCGAAATTTAACAATTCCCGTTATTTTCTGAACACGCCTCGTATTTATAAGCGTAGAAAACTAATGCATGAAATATTTTTTTTATTCTTTTAGCAAAGTTAACTGCAAAAATGAAACATATAACTTCCTTCTGTTCACTCAAAGATGGGCTCCAGGCGCATGCAAGGAATGGCTGGATATGAACGAAACAAACTCTTGCTACGACGTCCCACACACCCACTGGACTATCCACGGATTGTGGCCGGAGTGGAACATATACTGCAATGATAATCCTTTGGACATGTCGCAGCTATTGAATTTCGAAGAACTTCTAACTCAGCTATGGCCTACGACTAGAAACTTAACCAATCAGCTTTTCAACGACTGCGTGACATTTTGGAGTCACGAGTGGGAAAAGCATGGCACTTGCGCCATGGCGCTTCCACAATTTAACACGATTAATAAATATTTTTTGCAAAATTTATCGTGGAACTTGGAGTACGATGTGTATACATCCTTGGAAATTAATGGTATTACTCCAGATAGTAATCGTGGATATAAATTCGCCGATATTCGAACGGCCCTCATCAATTCTTTTGGTAAAATTCCCGATATTATTTGCACCACCGACAATTTAATTAATGAAGTTAGGTTGTGCTTTGATTTGGAATCCAATTTAATTGATTGTACCGTAATTCAATCAAATTGTAACATAGATAAGGATGTATTGTATAGATAACAATGTTTATTATTTAGAAAATATGTATTTTGGTCCTAAAATAAATAAATAAATTATTATAAAAAATAAATTGCTTAACCATTGGTTCCATATAGATAACACCACAATTGTGGATAACACCTTTTAATGATCTTAGAGGCCTGGTGCCATCTATGATAGATGATCTATCAGCCACGTTATTTGTGGTGCCATCTATTTATAAAAAAACTTAAATTTCGTCGCAGAGTCGCATAAGATTATGACAGTTTGTGTTATTTTTAATGGTAAATGGCCGGTAAGTAAATTTATTTATTTTTAATAGCTATGCCAAACTAACAAACGCGAATTTATTGAAAAAACCATATTGACTTTTCAAGATCTCGATCAGCTTTCTTCGGACGCTTTCAATACTTTGATCAAGGAAATTCCTTGTGATATGGAATTCTATATCAGAACTTCTGATTCAGAAGTAATTTTTGCATATTGCAGCGATTATGGATGATGAAGTAGAAAACATTGCAGTAATAGAGAAAGAGGTTATTGAAGATGGAGAAGATGGCAACGAAAACGGTTATAAATAAAATGATAAAGAAAAAAATGCAGTAATAGAGGAAGAGGTTATTATAGATGAAGAAGATTACAATTTAAACATTTCATACAGTATATATACTATAGTAAATTTAAAAGGAAACGACGTACACTGGTAAAACGAAGTCTGTAATTGAATTTTTAATGCATTTTAAACAACTTTAGTTGGCAGCAATTGCAATGTTGTCATGTTTAGATTAAAATTTTGCTTAATAAAATTACGCATAGAAAAAGAAATTGACAGTTTAGTATTTTGAAGCTTTCAGTTGTGTTTCTGAATATTTCGTTTAATTCGTGTATAATTTCGTTTATTTTGTTTGTTGTTTGTGTTACTTTATATCGTTTAAGTTTTCATTGCCATTTTTGTGTTTGTTATACATCGTTTTTTGTTTTTCCTATATTTAAAATGCCGAAGCATTTAAATAGTCGGAGTCAAGAGTTGGTATCATCCTTAATATGCTATTTTGAGGCAGAACGGGATAATAATGGACCTTGCTTACCTTTAACAGCTGTTAGAGAGGAAATAGGATTATTATTAATTATATATTAGAATATTTAATAAAATATATAAAATAATAATATATACCAGATACTGACTTTAGATGGCAAAATTTCTAGGTTTTATAGCTGAAAATGTCTTTAAAAATGGCTAAAAACATACTTTTGGCGGTGCATCATATAGGTTATAAAACTCTGACTTTTGACATTTTTGTATTCTAAGGTCCCAAATCTAGGGACCCTTTGGTATTATTCATGTAAAGTTTACATGAATAATACCAAAGGGTCCCTAGATTTGGGACCTTACAAAAATGTCAACTACAGGGCTATAGATGGCGTTTACATTGTAAACGCCATCTATAGCCCTGTAGTTGCACTACCACTTTAACATGTAAAGTTTACATGAATAATACCAAAGGGTCCCTAGATTTGGGACCTTAGAATACAAAAATGTCAACTACAGGGCTATAGATGGCGTTTACATTGTAAACGCCATCTATAGCCCTGTAGTTGCACTACCACTTTAACTTGATGCAATGATTTGAAAAATGCAAATCTCAAAGTTAAACTAAGCTAAAAAGCTATTTTAAAGATTTAGTTTCTTTCAGATGTATTTCGTGAATTTTAAGCTCTGGCGTGTGTAATCCCAAATGGATATTACTTTTGAGGAGATAAATAAATAAAACAGTTTTCCAAACAACATAAAATGTTATTTTCTGAATATTATATATGCATAACCAAGATTCTATTTGTTTTTGTTTAAAAATGATAGTCTTTATATTATGCGGGTTTAATATTCCTTACAAGCGGGTTTTGGTGTAAAAATCTATAGGTCATACCCTTATATGTTTTATAATTAATGGTCAAACACCAAATTTGATTAATGATAATATTAACAATGTATTACCTTAAAATAGTTTACGAGTACGAGGCCTGTTGTAATTGCTTAGTGGTTGTAGTTGGAGTTATTTAAATTTTTAGGAACAATGTGGTTGCTGGACTCAAAATCCTGATCTCTTTATGATCTCGCCATGGAAATTATAATACATTCCATGTTTTTTTAGTCTAGTCTAGACTAGATAGTGGAATCATCATAAGAAAATATTCAGTTTTTTAGAAAACACTATTCCGATTAGTCCAACAAGTCTTTGTTGTTTCTGAAGTACAGACACAATAATTGTTATCTATAATTATAATAATATAATAATATAATAACAATAATTATTATCTATAATGAAATATTTTATCGATATCATACATTTCATTTTAGACTAGATTTTTTGTTTAAAAGTCAAGTTTTAGGATTTAATTAATCTTAATTTTAAATAAAGATTATTTTATTTGTTTATGTAAAACACCGAAATACAAAAAATTTGTATTTTTTGTAAAGATTTCTCCTTACACCAGGTTCGTTTAAAACAAGTTTTATGAAAAATTATTATTAAACTAACTATTTTGTGACTTTGGCTCGTGATCATCTTACCCAAATTTGGACCTCTACGTTGTGTTTACTTGTTTTATTAAATACATTGCTTTTGGAACAGTGAAATTAAAAGCATAGAACATTTTGTAATAAAAAGGTGTTCATATCGAGTAAAATTCGCTAAACGTATTAGTCAAAATAATCAATGTGCAATTAACTTAAATCTGAATAATTTGGGCCACTAGAAATAAGAACCAACTTTAGAGAGTACACAAACACTTGTAACAATTATTTAACCAGAACTTTAAAATACATTTCGTTTTAGCAAAAATTTACAAGAAGCGATGCGTTCGCTAATACTTTCAAAAACGTTCTGCCTGTTTTCTTGCTTTCCTTTAATCGCTTCGTGTACTATGCTCCACACCTCAAAGTTCCACCACGTGACCAAGTACGGAACGCAGTCTTTTAAAAATTTGGCATTTAAGGCTTTTCAGGTTATGTATCTGTCAAAGTATAGTCAATGAAAGAAATAATATTTATAGTGTTACCGCTTATGTTTAAGCGTTAAAAGTTAATAAATCTTTATAGTATCACAATAACAATGGTTGGTTTAAGAATTTAGGAATATAAATACTGCATTTAATGAAATTTCAAAGTGTAAGGTGCAATATAAGTGATATTTTTGTGCATTGGGTCTACATTTCTTCATAAAATAGTTTTAACTAAACAGCATTTATTAAAAAAAATCTAACTTCTCTATTATCAAATAAGAATATCTGTATCAAAGGTAGGTTAATGTATTAGAACAAAAAATATCACCTAATTTTGTATTTTAAGGTTAGAAAAATCTATTTTGACCAAAATAAATACGTGGATTATTTGGAAGAGTGTGTTGATATGGTCATAAATAAATATAGGTATACTAAATAATTGTTGAATATGGTTCAAATTAAATTAAAGCTTTTATACTTCTAATGACAAAACTTGTGCATACCTCTCGGCATACCTACTTTAAGTTAGATTATAAGAAAACAAACAATTTTTAGAGAAACTTGCAATGTGAAAATATTTAATACTCCCATGACATGTGATTTATTAAAATTTTTATAATGATCTTTTGATGTAGATCAAGTTCAGTCGAAGCTTTTTAACTATTTGTATTGACAAAACTTTATATAGGTACACTTTAAGCTGGATAAGAAAAACCACCACATTTTTAAATACCATAATATATAGTCTTTTAAATAATCCAAAATACTTATTTATTTTGGTCAAAATAAATTTTTCTAACCTTAAAATTACAAAATTAGATGATATTTTTGTTATAATATATTAACCTACCTTTAAAACAGATATTCTTATTCCATAATAGAGAAGCTAGATTTTTTTTAATAAATGCTGTTTAGTTAAAATTATTTTATTGAGAAAACCAGATATTTGGACCAAATGCACAAAAATATTACTTATTTATTTTTTACTTTATTAAATGCAGTATTTTTATTCTTAAATTCTTAAACCATCCATTGTTATTGTAATGTTATAAAGATTTATACATTTTTAACTCCTAAACATAATATTATTTCTTTCGTTGACTATACTTTGACAGATACATAACCTGAAAAGCCTAAAATGCCAAATTTTCAAAAGACTGCGTTCCGTACGTGGTCACGTGGTGGGACTTTGAGGTGTGGAGCATAGTACCTGGACCATCGTTTCTCGCATCAAATTTTTAGGCAAGTTCGTATACTTGTAATTTCTTTACCTAAGCGTCCCTTTTATCTCGGTTTGCTAAGCCTTTTGCCTTTAACACCACAATTTAGAAAATACAAATTTTAGTTTAAAATAAATTTGTAAAACGTATTTAAGTACTGAACCATTACCTACATTTTGTCAAATACTGTCCCTAAAGTTCTATGCAGAAAATCTAAATGTATACAGAAATCTAAATTTACTTTTTTTTAAATGTATTACTAATTTTGTAGTGGGTCAATTGTTATCAAGATAAGGTTTTAAAATTTAAGCCAATTGAATAACTGATTTAAAAACTTTAAAGCTATCCCGAGCATTTAAAGAGCTGGGTGACAAAACACTTAAGGTAGTTGTCGTGCTGTAAGCATACCAACAGAAAATTTTAAATTTTTATATACTTATTAAGGACACGACAATACAATTATCCTTAAAATTTGAAGTCGATTGACCGTCTATAACCCGAGATAAATTCAATTAAAAATTGGATAATTAACATGGATTGTATACGCTTTCTGTAGTTCTGTACCAGTTTCTTAGTTATAAAAAAACTAACTGTCAGAAGCTTTAAAAAAACTAACAGTGTTTTAACGTATTTTTGCTGAGTTTAAAAAAAAATAATTAAAAATTTTTGACCGTCCAATTGTTTATAAATAACCGTTTAAAGTTCAAAAATTTGTAAAAAGTATACATCACTAGTGTCAGATAAAAACAACTTGGCAACGCTGTACGCGAGTATAGATATTATTTCCGCAGTAAATTCAAACGGACTGATTCAGTCTCCAATATATCTATTGGTTGAGCATAAGCGACGTTGCCGGATTAAAACTTATGAAAATATTTAAAGTATTACCTAAAGGTAACGTCTCCAGGGTACAGTCTTGCGAAAAAATTATGAATCACTTAGCTACAAGCTCGTATACTTTTACGGTGCTTATAATCTAAAAATTTTGGACAATATTGTACCACGACAACTACCTTAATCAATATTAAGATGTTTATTTGCGTAAATATCATAAGATTATTTTAGGATAATATCATCTACAGGTAATTGAATAAATTAAATTTTATCAAGTTTACGTGCTTATTTAATCGATAGATAATTAAAATTGAAAATTTACTAGGTACATTTTTAAGTTATATTTTTAGTGTTCTAATTGTTGTTCATAAATTTGTCCTTATGGTGTACACAAAATTTGACATACGCGCCCATTTGGCAGGCCGGTTTAAGTTTTTTTGTGTATTTAGTATTACTTTTATTGCAACATTCATCTTTATCTACTTCTATGTGTAAGTATTGCTATTATATAAATAAAAAAATGGACTTGAAATGGTGAGTTTGCTTCTTCAAGTAATTTGGTTCGCTGAACTTAAATCTAGAGCCACTTGTGTTTGCCATCAAATTCTAACACAAAAGTGTTAAAATCGAAACGATAAATCAAGTTTTTACCCACGAGGCCTGTTTCTCGTCCATTGACTATTTTATCAAAACTAAAATTCAAAATATTGATGTAGGTATCTTTAATTTTATCATTTTTTTAGTTTCAACAGACATCTGATAGTTACATACGACTATGAGGACAACTTCGACCATTTGGTTTTTACTCAACAATGGATGCCAACCTACAACACCAAACTGAACATTCAAAACTGGACCATACATGGGCTTTGGCCTTCAAGTATGAACGGAAACAGTCCATCCTTCTGCCACAACATCACCTTCGATCCAGATCAAATCGAAAGTCTTAGAGGCGACATGGTTAAGTATTGGCCAGGCGAGCACATCAAATCGGGAGACGTCTATAATGACTCGCTGTCATTTTGGAAGCACGAGTGGGAAAAACACGGCACCTGTGCTCTTGCTTTGAAGACTCTTAAAAGCGAAATGGACTATTTCAAAACTGCTCTGGATTTGCACGAAAAATACAATTTGTTGACTATGCTTCAAACTATAGGCTTTGTTCCTAGCCTTACTAGCAAGTACGAAGTCACCGAAATGCTTGATAAAATGACAAAACTAACTGGCAAGAACCCAAGCATTAATTGCGTTGAAAACAACGTTTTGGCGCAAATAAGTATTTGTATGAATAACCAATTTGACCTCATAGATTGTCCGGAAACCGTAACAGTCTGCAATATTTCCAAACCAATTTCCTACGCACCCATAGCTGATGTTCCTCAATTTGACTCACTCATTTTCTCCCAACAATGGCTTCCAGCTTACAATAAAACCATGAAGTCGGAATGGACCATCCATGGCATTTGGCCAAATAATTTTACGGGACCTAGTCCATTAAATTGCTCTGATGTACCTTTGGACATATCCCAAATACAATCAATTCTCAATGACCTTAACGACAACTGGCCTTCCTGCAGTAAATTGGATAATCCCTCTTTCTGGAGCCACGAATGGACAAAACATGGCACGTGCGCTATTTCTTTAGAAAAACTGGCAACCCCTTTAAACTATTTTAACACCGGTATAGAACTTAGACAGAAGCATAACATCAGTAAGATTTTAATGGAAGCAAACATTACAGCAGGAACAGATCAGGTATATGACATCAAGGACATTAGAAAAGCTTTCAAAAACGTTCCCAGGTTAAAGTGTGTAGATGGAAACATTGCAGAAATTGGTATATGCATGAACAAATCTTTTAATTCTATAGATTGTATCCAAAAAAAATCAAATTGCGATAATTTTGGCAAGGTGAAATATGAGCCGTCGCCACCAAAAAGTTGGGACGTAATGGTTTTGTCCCAGCAGTGGTTTCCAGCTTTCAACAAAGATTTGAAATTGACGAATTGGACCATAAGCCATTTTTGGCCGCAATATAATGACGGAACGTACCCAACAAATTGTACGGGTTATAAATATGAATCAAAAAGTTTTTCAGGCGACTTGGTACGTTTCTGGCCTTCAGTAAGTTCAACTACCACATCTAATATTCGTGAAAAATCTCTCAGTTTATAGAGAAAGGAATGGAATGTGCATGGCGCTTGTGCTATAACATTGCAAGGATCATTTGAAACATCATTAAATAATGAATTTGATTACTATAACATTTTGTTAGATAAATATAAAAAATTTAATATCTTCGCAGCATTGGAAGAATCTAACATAACTGTAAGTTCCGAAAATGAATACGATATAAACAACATTAAAAATGCTATCATCAAAAAATATACCGTCAACCCAATTATAAATTGCCTCAATGGTACTGTTTTATCTGAGGTGAAAATTTGCTTGGATCCAAAATATAATCCAACTGATTGTCCAAAGGAATCCACCACGTGCGATGCTTCCAAAAAACTTCGTTATATCCCCCTTTAATTCAAAAGTTTGTGGATTTAACATTTTTCTGGTTTTAATATCCATGCTGTGTTATTATTTTGATGTTAATAAATTTGTCTGATTAAAAACAATTATTATTTTACATATACCTCACAATCCACACAACAAGGTCTCTTCTATCTCATGCTAAAAATACTAAAAATCACTGCAACACTGCACAGAGTTTAACGGCGGCCATTTTTGTTGTTTACAGTTCTTGTGCTTTGGGTTTGTGCTTTTTAATAATTGTTTTAAACGTTGTGTTTCTCACAGAGGCACTTGTAAGCCTCAAATAAGGCCTTTAAGTGCTAAGGAAAACCATTTTACTCCTCTTTTATAATAAATATACCTTATTCTATCAGGGATGTCAAATGACAATTTGAAGGTTAATTTGTGGGTTAATTTAACCTTAAAATTGACATTTGACAGTTTTATGACAGCCCTGATAGAATAAAGTTTATTTTTTACAATAGAGGAGTAAAATGGTTGTTCTTAGCACTTTAACGACTCTTTTAAGGCTTAATATGAGAAACACAACGTTTAAAACGATTATTAATCTGTATAAACAGAGCACAAACCCAAAGCACAAAAATTGTAAACAACAAAAATGGCCGCCGTTAAACTGTGCAGTGTTGCAGTGATTTTTTGTATTTTTAGTACGAGATAAAACAGACCTGGATTGTGATATACCTACCTATTATATATGTATGGTCTACAAGTGTTATTTAAGAATATACTAATAATTTTAAAAAACAGTAACAACGATGGGACAAAATCAGGATGAAAATCAAAGATTGTTTCCAAAAAATATAAAAACTTGTAGAAGATAACTCAAATATTTTTTTATAAAGATCATTCAAAAACATTCTTACTGATCATTTTTTTCAAGCGTTAAGACGGTGTTTTTCGGTTGGATGAAAAAAATGTGTCAATTTATTATAATACAATTCATATTATGTCTGAATTAACGATAACATTCGGCTTATTTTTCATTTAACAATACAGCCCAATTTAGGGGTGATTGATCAAGTGCAACGAACTTTTTTATTGAAATAAAACAGGCAATGCCAAATGAAAAATTACCTTATTTCCTAAAGCTACTATTTAAATGTACGGGACCCCATGCGACCCAGCATTCTTTGTCATTTTTCTAAAAAAATCAATTGTTGCCAAATAAATCTTTCTACCTGCCACCAACATCCCCTAAACACACTACCTACTTGTTTTCAGTAGCGAAGGTTCGATTATGCATTGAGAAAATAAAACAGTAGCCATTTATGGGCAGAACAGTAATTATTATTTTCAATTTTAAATAATATTCAATGTGCTGGTCACTACAGTTCCTAACACTGATGTCACGAAATCAACTATTGCTGATGTCAAGGGAGTAGGTAAGTTCCGTGGATGGTTTTCTTGTGCGATTAAGAAGGAAATAATTGAAACAACTAAATAAACTTTAAAGTTTTATTAAAAAAAAAAAAAAAAATAATAGAAATATAGTATTAACAGTGTTTTATATATTCTTCTAATATTTTTAAATGGACATAAGAACTTACAACAGTCAGCCAGGAAATCACAGGATTCTTACTAAAAAATAATAAATTATCAGAAAAACAAACAAAAAATATAAATTTAATACCTAGTGCTTAAAAACGGCTCAATTATTTCTTGCGTTTTACAAGGATGCAATGTCAAAAAAGGCCTACATAAAACTGGATGATCCTTAAAAATATATAACATTTTGTTTTTCTCTTTGATTAATTTGTTTAGACATATACCTAAGTGGTTTTCAGTATCTTTTAAGATTCTGATTTAATTTTGAAAAAAAAACTGACTGTTTTCTTTTAGGTAACTTGGTGAAATATGCCAGAATGATGAAGAAAGTGCTTTATGTGCATAAAAATAAAACTTAGAAAGGTTTTAAATAAAAAATAAACAAATTTTTAATATGACCGTCGCATACTTTTTATGTGATTTCACACAATTTTATTTGCTCAAAATTAAAAGTATCCCCATGTTGTGAATTTTTTCCACCGGTAAACAACCGACAACAAAAAAAACATATCGAGCAATTTATAACTATTTATGTTGCTATTTTAGTGATAAAACGTCGAGACAACGTTCAGTTATTATTTTTTGCCTAAACATTAACAATAATTATATAACACAAAAAACCTAACATTTGTTCAATATCATTTTCTTTGGCTACTTAAGTTGAATTAAATGCTCAAGGGACATACGACGGTCTTGTGAAACAGGAGTTTTAAAACCAAAATTAAAAAATAAATTCATAGGATATTGAACTTTTGATATTATATATCGATAAAATGTAAAAAAATATGGCTAATATAAAGGTTTTAGTTTTAATACCCCATGGACATTTAAAGTTACTGAAAACCACTCATATAGCAACACTGTATGTCTGGAGCCTTAAAAATATTGTTTTATAACTAAGCGATTTTAAATTCCAGATAAACAATTGCGATATGTTCTAAAAATTGAGCTACCGTTTACACAAAACTACTGTACTTAGTCATCACTATAAAGTTTTGTGTATACGGCCATTTTGTTTGAATACATCGTATATAAAAATTATTACCAGTTGAGTGATAGTGTTATACATATTGGAATCATCAAAGTTTTGGTTAATATTTAAATATTCTTCCATTGAAAGTACTGATCCATCTAAAAATTTTAAAATTAATGTGATGGTGCTTGGAGTTTGTTTTATTTAATTAAATCTACCCGCTTTCCATACATTGAAACATATCATTGGAACAGAATAACTCAAACTAAATACAACATGATGCTCGTATGTGAGAGTGATGGGATTTCCTTTTCCAGGTTCTTCAATTGAAATAGTTGATTTTTTAGTTATATATTTTCCATTGTCATTTTCCTAAAAAAACTATATTAAGTATGTTACACTGGTCAGGGTCAGCCCATAAATCTTATGACGCTGGAAGTAAATCGAATATTTTTTTATTTAACTAATCTTAATAAGATTGAGTAATTCGGGGGAGTCTTCACATCGTCATATTTTGTCACAAGGGAGTGGGGAGGGTCAATTTTGACTATTTTTATGTCACGAGACTAAATCTCATGGACAGCCATTTAGCAAGGTAACAAATAATTTTTCGGTCATTATCTACCTTGTTGACATGTAAAGTCCATCCATCTAAAATATCGTTGGAAATTTTAATAATATTCTCGATAGAAAGATTAAATTCATCAATGGTAAGCGTTTGATTGGAATCCATAATTCTGGAAAAAAGAAACCACATTAAAGCAACCCACAAATGAAAAAAAGGAGTAGAAAATTTTATAAACGAGTTGCATTCTATAGACTATTTCCCTCGTCTTAATTTCCACCAATCACAAACGCGCAATTTTGAATTACAAATGGTTTCTAGGTGAAAAAACTGTGTGACAGCACCTGTCAGCAGTTTTTTCGAGTTTACCCGCGGCAAAACTAGACAGCTGTTGTCACCAAAAATTGCAATTTATATTTTAATTGTTAACTGTTACTCATAAAATAGTCTTGTCAAATACCATTCGGGCATCTAATTTTTCCTGTGAAAAAAATCGAAAAAACACAATGCTAAGTAATATTTTTTAACAAAATGCATTCGTGCAGGTGCAAAAATCCTCCTCTTCGACTCGGATTTTTGTTGCCACCAGCACTCATGTATAACGGCTGGGAAATATGGCTTAGTCTTCTTTGAAGTCAGTAAAAATGGACCAACAACCCAATAAATAGAAGCATTTTTTCAGAGTGAAACTAAAGAGGACGTTTTGTGAGTATACTGCAGGCGAAATCAAAACGTGCAAAAACATTTTTTAAAGTATCTCTTTAATAATAATTATTCCACATTTAGTATTACGTTGTTGTACTTGTTTACTTTTTCATTATATTTCTTAATTATTTAATTCGTTTTCTTTTTTGGAATTTAATGTGTGTTTCTGAAACCTTTGCATGCTTGGATGATTTATAAACTAACTTATGTTCAAGGCAGTTAAACTGACTTCGTTTGTTTATCTACGTAATAAGTAAAGTAAGTCTGTCTAAGACATTATTATTTCGAGATGTAATTTTTTAGCTTTTCTATGTAATCAATTAAAAAAATTTAATCCATTTGAAGACACATGAAAAAAGTCAATTGATTGGTAATCTTGCAAAGGTTTTAAAGGAGATTAATTTGATTGAGGCTCACGTGGCCGCAAAACGACGTGGGCGTCGTTTCTACGTCAAGGCGACGCCAACTCGATGCGACGCTTTCGAGTATTGGGGCCGAACTAACGGATACTTCCGCAACGCTCCAAAAACAGAACACAATTGAATTTTTGTTTAATCTTCTTCAATAATAAATAAAACTTACTTTCAGCATAAAATATATCGTAAAATATTAGTTGCCACAAAAAATAAATTTGTCACTTAAGCGAGGTATAAGCACAACAAATTAAAAACATATTTTTAGAAAATTGGGTGGCCTATCAAAACAAATATAATTTATTTGAATATACACTAATATAAAAATCAGATTTGTTAACATGAGTTACCGAAAGTTTTGTAAATATGCAATTTTGTAAGCATTTTGTTAATTTTAATTTCAAAGATAATAAATATAAACATAATAATAAATAATAAATATATATATAATAATAAACATTATAATAAATATAACATAAAAACATAACAATAAATAATTTAATTATTTCATTAAAAAAGTACACGTGATTTCCCACTGACAATACGCATCAACAAGTTCAACTGACTTCAGCGTCTGTAACTTATGTTTCTGCTTACTTTATTCTAATTCATAACGTGTCAACTGTCGAAATAACTGTCCAAAGTGTTTATAATACATTAGGTACCAGAAATCTGTTATTATTGTTATTCGGATTCCTTATACCTATTTAACGAGTGTGCGAAGTATCCGAAAAAAGATGCCATCACTGGTTTTCAAACTGACAAAAATCAGGAAGTGTTGTAGTATACTGATAATTGAGCCGTGCAAAACCGGCTATATCCACTTTAATAAAATGTTGGGAAAATGGCAAAAACTCTTGGTTTCCTGGCCTTTACAGATAAAAGAAAAAGCAAACTTGAGTTTTGTGGGCTTTGTGGTACTTGATTTATATATAAATCAAGTACCATAAGACATACTTTCGTTTTCGAAAACTTTATATTAAGGCCAAAATTTCAAAAAATGTTTTGTATATAGCCAGTTTTGCTCGAAAACCGAATAAAAAACGAATAAAATGTGAAAAAAACCTTTATTATTCAAAAATATTAACAAAATAAATTTAGTTCAAACATGGGAAAACAGAACAAATTTTAGTAGTAGTATCGACATATCCAAGCCACATATTATTAATTGGATATAGCCGGGTTTGCTATAAAAACGTGGATTTGGCCGGTTTTGCTCCTAAAGCTACCTTTTAAATGTGATTTTAACATGGATATAGTCGGATTTAAACAGAATTATCTTGGTTGTCGATAGAAATGAACCCAAAGATGCGATGCACATTCCATGTGTTTTGGGTTTTTTGAGAAGTCATTTTTAAAATAATGTATAGTTTTTTCAATAAATAATTTTAGTCATATTTATGTTTTTTGCTTCAATAGCTTGATTATTATTCGTATATAATATACCACTAGTAAAATTTTACCGATAAAATTTTTGATTTTTATTCCAATGTTTTTTTTTTCGTGTTAATTTCCGAGTTAATTTCGCAAGTGGCATTCCTTTTTAAGACCACGAGCCGCCAGGCCAGTGGTTTTAATTTAATGCCAAGAGCGAAATTTACAAGAAAAAATCTTGAGTAAATAAAAATCAAAAATTTTTTCAGGGAAAATTTTATCACGAGTGGTATTCGGCCAGACTATAGTCTGTTATATATTATATTTCACGAATATTTTTTTTTTAATTAGAATTAACTGCCGATTTAATTTCTGTATGATTGTTTTGACCAAAACGCATATTTTTTGACATTTTCATTTTAAAATTAGAAACGTCAAGATTGTCAATTATAAGTAAGTAAGTAATATCATAAGGGCATCTAATTTTTTCGAAAAAACACGTTGCTAAGTAGTGTCCGACCGAAGCTTCGGCTTCGGCTTCGGCCACCTTCGGCCAAAAACCACATTCGGTCGCACATTCGGCTTCGGCCAAAATCAGCAGAAGGATTTTTGCCGAAGCCGAAGGTTATAATTATTGGATATGTCCTATTTATATTTTAACAATAGTATACTAAACGCAATAACACGATACTATTTATATTGTTATATAATTTTTTTTAGTTTAGTCAAGTCAATTTTTTAGTCTTATTAAACCTTCGGCTTCGGCTTCGGCTTTGGCCGAAGGTTACAACAAGAGCCGAACCTTCGGCTTCGGCTTCGGCCAAAAACTGACATTCGGTCGGACACTATTGCTAAGTAATATTTTAACAAGAAGCATGGTGGCAACAAAAATCCGAGTCGAAGACGAGGATTTTTGCACTTGCACGAATGCATTTTGTTAAAAAATATTACTAAGCATTGTGTTATTTCGATTTTTCTCGCAGAAAAAATTAGATGCCCGAATGGTATTTGACAAGACTATTTCATGAGTAACAGTTAACAATTAAAATATAAATTGCAATTTTTGGTGACAACAGCTGTCAAGTTTTGTACCGGGTAAACTCGAAAAAACTGCTGACAGTTGCTGTCATACAGGTTTTCCACCTATAAACCATTTGAAATTCAAAATTGCGCGTTTGTGATTGGTGGAAATTAAGACAAGGAAAATAGTCACCAGAGGTAAAATTTTCAGGGAAAATTTTATCACGAGTGGTATTCGGCAAGACTATTTCACAAATATTTTTTTTAATTGGAATTAACTGCCGATTTAATTTCTCTATGATTTTTTTTGACCAAACCGCATGTTTTTTTGACATTTTAATTTTAAAATTAGAAACTTATTTTTAGCATAAATAGCTGCAAAACTGAAAAAACCACTCTTCTTCTAATATCTGATTGGTCCATAAAGTAATGAGTGGAATAGTCGCTGCAAAACTAAAAATAGTCTTAAATAAATTATTTAATTTATGTTTTATTTCATTATTTTGCCCTTACGATATAACCTAACAAAGTTGTAATACAAATAATTATACTTTTTTTTGTTCTTAAATCTGCGAGATCTCGAAAAATACCGAGATCTTGCGTAGTAGGTACTTATGTGTTAATGTTTGGGAAATTGATTAATAAAAAATTTCTCAAAATTCTCTTAATTTATGTTCCCAATTTCCAACAAATTCTTTTGTAACTTGGTCCAAAAAGGTTTGTAAAAATAAGGTCCTTTATGAAAATTATTATTATTGTTGAATTAATGTTCGTTATACTTACAAACTACTTGTTCAATTAGTTAACAGATTACAGTTTTTTTAAGAAATAAAATGTTTTTTGAAAAATCACTGAAATTTTTTTATTATTATTTTCTATAACCTTTAAGAAAGATTTTTTATTATTCTAAAAACATCTTGTATATATATAAGTAGTGTTTATTTAAAACATAACATCAATTTTTAAACACGTAAAAACTGCGATTTGTTCTGCCAAAATTATTACAAGTTTTCAAAATAAAAATGTCAGAAATAGGCATATTTTAAGCATAAACATAAGGACAATAAACGTTAAAACCGCCTCTGTAGTCTGGGCAAAAATGTGTTCAGATCAAACAAAGGCGCAATGATTCATTGCAGCGAGTTTTCTCAACAATTTATTGCAGTTTTATTGATATGAGTCGCATTTCGAAAAGTATTTACACCCACTTGCCAACCAAAGAAATATGCATTAAGAAGAAACAGCACAGTCTTCTTATCCTCTGCTTTATGTTTGCACCATTCAATTTCGTTTTTAATGCCCTGTTTTACCAACGCAATTCACATGTTTTTTAGCCTGGTGACGTGTTATTTTTCACAGAAAATGCTACCTACGACATTTATTTAATTGAGTTTTTTGTCAAAAATTCCTTTAAATCTAGATCAATTACGTAATCTTGATGCCCTTCCAATAGCACTTCCAAACTAAAAAACTATTTTGTTAAAGCTATCGCTACCAGCTCCAGCCGGCGAATACAAATAGTATATTACACTACAAGGGCAGAAAGTGTGAGATTCCTGCACCGCGCATGCAGTTCAGGGCTCTCACACTTTTTGCCCGTGTATACACTATAGTGTATACTATTTTTCTTGCTACCCGGCCGAAAATACGGGAAAAAATT